ATATATTACATCTGAAAAGGCCTAGTCTATCAATCTGGGATTTTTCAGGATTCTATTATAAAAAAGCTTTTTGTTTTAATAAAAGTATTAATTATATAAATCTTATTATTTATTAAACCTAGACTATAATACTTTATTAAAGAAAGAAAACTATAAATTAATAAGATGAGATTTTGAAAAAAAAAGTATTCGATTTAATAATTATATTTATATAATAACTTTTGATAATTATAGTTTTGATAATAAATAATAAATAAAACAAAAGAATTAGAATATATAATAATAATAGTTTGATATAACTTGCTATAGAAAACAAAGACTTTATATTATTTGAAAACAAATAAGGTTTCAAAAGAGAAGATATTGTTATAGATTCATTATATATAACTATCTATATTTATCTATATCTACCTGTATCTATCTATATCTATTATATGCTTATTATCTATTATTAATTAACTCAAATAGATATCTTAGATATTTATTCACTATATAGTCAATATTGTTCCATATGTCTTCTTCTTTTCTTATCGAATATTATATATTTTACTTAGTTCCTATTAGTATCTGTACTAGCCCCGTGATAGTTATCCGCCAACGAGATCTAAAATGGCCGGACAGACACGAGTGTTTCTAGAATAGTACTCTTAACCAAGTCTTCCGACGAGTTCTTTTAAATATTCATCTCAGATCTAAACAATCTATCTAACCTTTCATATTATAAAACACTCTTAAAATATATATATTCAATATATAACAACGAATAAATTTTTTGAAAATTCATATATAATGCTATATTCAATCTTCAATACACTTCTTATATTAATCAATAAAACAAAATCTGAGGAGATTATATTCAATTATACTTTTCAATATTTATGATTATTAAGTTATAATAGGCCTCCGGAGAATGAGCTGTGATATAAGCCCTGAGATGCCCTAGAAAAACGATCCGAAGAGTATAGCGAAGCGAATTGTTTTTCCGGCACTGAGGGGCCGAAGTCAAAGCTCGTTAATAATATTACCATCTCATTTTATTGTATCAGGGCTCTACAAATATGTTTTGTTGCACATGTACAACAATTTTCTGCAAGTTCCGTATGTAAGCCCTGTAGAAGCTGAATTTCAGACTACTGCTGTTTTTATCCTACACGGTTTTCCTCTGAAATAATTCAAGTTTTGCATCCCCATTAGTATTCTGAATCCATGAGACGGATAATTAAGGATGTTGAATATGAAGCTGGTGATTTGAGTCGTGTAATATCAATTCCTTCTCGCCAAATATCTGCTTGATACTGAAAGAGATGAGATAGAGCAACGGAGCAAATCTATGTTTTGGACACTACTAACATATAGAAATACTAGGATGAATCCAGCGAGTTGAGACTAAGGATTGTCTAATTCTATTGACGCCTGATATACTAAGTACTGCCTAGAAAATCTAGGTCACTGCAGAAGTATGTGGATTCAATGCTAACAAAAAGAGAATGGTTTGTTGAAACAACGCAAAGGAAGACGAAAAATTGTCCGAATCAATCATAGAAATCGAAACTTAATCACGCAGCCGCAGTATAGCAGTCTAACTGGGGGGGTTGAATAATACTCGCCGTATATATTTTGATATCCAAAGAGTGGTGAATTTATGAAATGAAATGAACTTCAAAGCTCACATGAGGATATTCTTGAAGGAATCAATGGACCTAAATATGATATTTTTGATGTGGCCGCGCAGTCCGATTGCTTCAAAATTACGCCTTGAAAGAGTATTCAAACAAGAGAGCTCGAAGAACGCCGATTGGATAAGACACCATCGTGTTTAGGCACAGATCAAGTACACCCAAGGATGATGAGTTAAATTCGCCGAAATTATAAATCACATGCTGACCAGACAGGTCCTTTGCTCCATTGCACGTAGCTATTTCGGAGAATCACGAAAAATGAAGGGAGCTGAACGTCATGACCACGTCAAATGGCCATTGCCAACGGAAAGAAAGCATGGGTTTCATGTAAATAGCTAAGGAATCAAAAGCACTCCAAACTTGCGCTCGAAATTCGAACCAAGTGAATAAGTGCTGTCTCACACTCACTTGGCAGATTCACTCACCAGTGGTATTTTTGATCGTTATTCGCTCCAATTGAAACCAACAAACAAGCTTTATTCCTCAGGAAAGTACTAAATAATGTCTGTCCACCTCGCCAAGTTTTGCCTATTTACTAAACACCCGTATGCCCCTTCTCGTGCAGCAAAACATCCACACTATCTTCGCTAGCCCCTACCGAGTTGGGAAAAAGAACCTCTTGATGGACAATGCCTTCCCCAAGATATACCACAAATCAAAGGAAGAATATCGACGCATTACGAAAGACAAGTTCAGCCCGGGTACAGAACATATTCCCAGATGTCTGTACTCACGTCCACGTACAGCACAGGAGCGTTACTACTCAATCCACAAATATTTGGTTTCAACAAGATTTGAACTGAATGATCTGGCCGTTGATGCCGACTGGGATTCAAACTTCGGAGCTCGTGTTTGTCGCGCAATGGTCAAATAGTTTGAAGAGAAGAACTTCTCAGATGAAATTTGCAATTGGTGCAACGGCGATACTGCTCATTGCGCAAGCTCTGCGTTTATCTATCAGTTCGCTTGTTCGAGGTGGCTGTCGTTTTGATCGATCCCTTCTGAAACTAAGACGATTCCAACCATGGCAAACTATTCCAGGTCAAACTTTGATATAATATGAAATGTGAAGGAGCCTATCACTCTCGACGGCTCCACGTTGCAAAACGAATGCATGCTACAGGTGCCTCTTATAGTAGCTCATTTAGATGAGGCGACTCGGGCAAACGCAGGAAACCCTGCCACATTATTTTGGACAGAGCGACATGTTGAGTATCAGAATGAAAAGAGCGACGCTGGCAATGCTACCTGAACTCGCAAGTTTGCAATAGCTGCGCACCCTAGCGAATGTTTCTCGTTTGGTATGCTGCCCTTCTATTCACTCTAGTAGCCATAAGATCACAATTGTCTTTCCAAGAAGCTGCTCAAATGTACAACAAGACCGGACATTCTCATTTTAGAATAATACACAACAATTCCTACATGTCTCCCAAATCATAGAATCAGAGTCTCCCGATCATTTCCCTGTCAATCGCCGTCTGGCATCTCGCTTCATGCGCCAACGTCTAACTCTCAGAAATCTGATATTGGCTCGGTGCTGAATATATTTTGCCGCATCTGGATAAGGAAACATTTTTGTCCCTGGAAGACAATCATCGATTTCAGCTAGAATCTCTTCCAAACTCAGAGGATTCAGAATTCGCGCTTGTCGATTCGCTTTAACAGTGGACCTTCCTGGTCCATATAGAATGACCAAGCGATCAACAATTGCTCTCCTGATCGTATCCGGCTGAATCTCCACACCCATTTGATAGAGTTCTCGCAAAAGTACAATACCATTCGTGATGTTGTATGTTATTTTCTTATTCACACGTGCAAGACCCAGAACACTTGGCGTCGGGCTGACTAATGCTCGTTGGAAACCCCATTCCACAATGGCTCTTTGCAGACTGGGTGGGAAGAGACACCTAAGAGGATGTTGATGGTGCCATGTGGGAATGAGATCATCTGGAACCTGTGTGCGATCTCGAATTCGCAGGTAGTTTGCACCAGGTAGAAGATCGTGATTTTTTGAGCCATACCAGGAAGCTAAAAACATGCACAAACTGTGTAAGTCTTTCTCACGGCCGAGCATCCCAAGTCTTCTAATGATTTCGGACCAATGACGTACTGGAACTGATGAACCAGATGTCATGATTCCTGTGAGAATTTTGATTGCCATAGTCAAATCATCGACATTGTTGTGTCTGGGATCCGTCGCAGGTCGCCGACCGCGTCGACGTGGCCGCAATAATTGTCTTAAGATACAGGATATGGAACCCGGCTTCGCCGGTACACGATTCATCCGCATGTCAGATAATGTCTTGAGCACAGCTTCCCATTGATGTCTGATGACGCAGATCCTCAGATGTATGTTGTAAATATCGAAATCAGGAGTTCTACTCCCAACTAATCGTATGGCCATGGTTCGCCTAAATTCGGTCAGTTGTTCTCTAGCAGCAAAAGAAGCCAGGAGCTTCTCCTGGAGTATCCAATCGTCAAGTGCCGCAGGATGCTGGTCGCTATTCAACAATGCTTTTAGAAATTCGTGATTCTCTTCTCTCGCAAAAGTTTCCACGGCCTTAACAAACTTCGATTGACCGGGAGATATGCCAAGTTCTGCGAGCTGATCAAGCCTCTTGACAATGGCTTTACTATTCGGATCTCGCAGAGCAATAGACTGAAATGACAGGGGTCCAATTTCTCTTACTCCAAGTGCGTGGATGGATTTTATGGATATATCTAATGGCACCCATGATGTAGCAAGCCATCGAGCTCCTAATTCATCGTCATACTCCTTAGGCTCGATTTTAAAGACCTTACCATGAACGAGATTCATCATCTCTCTGGATATACGTCGAGACTCTTTGAGCTCGTTCTCTAGATCGGGGGGTAAAGACATGCCTATAAGTACTAAGCTGCGGGCGACCCTGTGAGCCAACGGGCTTCCAAATTTTGTCAAAAGTCGAATCAATTCCTCGGTAGGTCTTGCAGATTTTGGAAAGTCTTTCTTCTGAAAAAGGGAAAAGTGCCATTTGTATGCAGATGCGTATTCTTCTTGACGATAGAATGGTACTATGATGCTAGAGTATGAGACATGGAATCTACTTGCTTCATAAATCTTCCGTAGAGCTTCGACATCTCCTTTGAGAGTAATCACGTGGAAACATAACTTCTCAAACGCTCTACCGTGAGGCGGATGACGCACCATTAGTCTTCGATGCCATTGGAATGCTTCAGCACCTCTATCATTCATTAGGAGATGATACATAAGCTTCATGTAAAGCCCATTCCAGCGCTGGCCGGTTTCTTGCAGCAGGTCATCTGCATATTGGATGATACTTTCGAGAACGACCTGATCTTGAAGACCCAAATCAACAAAGGCTCTCCACATTGTCCAAGATGCCAAACCTTCGACCGGCAAATGTATACTTCTGGTACGCATCGCTTCCCAAAACATCCTCACGCCCTCAACACCATATCTTCGTCGCCTATATACCAGGAGCACCGCCCACAATTCCATGTCTTTCTCATAAATTGGATTATCGACTAACCGTGCTGCGTCTGCGGAGATCGTTTTGGATACGCGCGATTCATATTCGAGTTCGTCAGGTGTAAAGTAATCTTTCCATATTTTATATTCTTTGGTCGTCATCGACTCCGTATCGGGATTAGACACAACTGTGCGGGAGCCATTTAAGGAAATATTTGAATTGACATGGCGTATAACAAGTTGCGCAGGATTTGGACTATCGCTATCGGATTGTGTGTCGTGCTGGTTCGCAGCTCCTGATATAACGCCGTGACTTGGATAATTTCGATTGCATTTTCTACCAATACAATCATATTTAATGTTGGTTGATGGCGGTGTATCCGTTGCGCGTACTAGATATCGAAGGTGATTCAATGATGAATCTCTAGAGATGAGTCGTTGCAAAGCAGGGCGCATTATGATGCACCGTCCCTCAAGATTTCGGTCAGATGTGTATGCAGATCCATCACCGCCATGAAAAATTATCGCATGCTTTGTAGTAAAGCTTGGTTGAGCATTACCGTACCTAGGTAAGTAAGTCTTACTATCATTCTTCAAAGCATTTTCTGGACTTGCTTCAAAAGTTGAAGGGGCTTAGTCAGCCATATGTACAGTACTTGTACTAGCGCGGGTTTCGATCCGAACTTCCTGTGAATTCAACATCGAACCACTCCCCCCCAATCCACCAACAAACAACCATAACGCTTTGAATACAGACACAATGGCTGGGTAAGCTACAACTTCCAGTCCAGTCCAGTTCTTATACGATTCTGAACTTTGAGGAGAGCTTGTTGGGATGACGGTTGCGCCCCAAGGCCAGCCATCGACAAGCTCACGGGAAATTGTATCCCAAGACCATTCACTGACTACATTATGTTAATAGCTATAAACTCCGCGAGAACCGTGTTCCTCACTACCAGGCTCTCTTCCAAGAAGGTGCCAAGAAGCACATTCGTCAATGGAATCAAGTACGTACCTCGGTCGATTATCCGCCGCATGGGGAGTCGGGGTGGAGAATACCTACGACTGCATCAATCGCGATACAATACTAATAAATTATGCAGACCCCTAAAAGCAGAATTATGCTCTACCCATACTACCTATGTCTTTGGGGAGGTTTTGCCGGTATGTGTAGCACTGCGAAAGAGACAGGAATAGCATAACTGACGTTGGGATAACAGGATCTATGTACATGATGTCGCGCATGGTTTTGGGACACAAGACTTGGTTTAGCAAGGGATAGAGGTTGCGAATGAAACATTGGAATTTGTGGATGTTTGGGGACTCAAGGAGGACGGCAGTGTACATTGAAGCCAAAGAATAGATCAATTTCATCATACTTCGAATACCTTACGACAAATTCCTGGAGCTACAAAAGGCTGCTTCCCCTAATGGAATATGTACCTTCTCGGTCTTCCGTCAAAAATCATACCATTATTCATTTTCAATACTCGAGTAGTTTCGGGAACAACTACTCTTCTCCCATTCTGAGTCCAATCGTCAAATTTCATGACAGAGCGTAAGAAAGGCCCTTTTTTTCACAAATTCAAGGTATGGTTCACTATCACAAGCGTGTATGAGCTTAAAGTTTGAAATTAGCTGTCATTGTCTAAAATGCGCGCTTTATTTCTCTATACATCATTAGGGATGATCTTACAGTGTCATTATTTTACTGGCTCATTCGGCATCTTCTTTCGTTGGATAGGCAATGGATAATGCGAGGTGGCTATATACTTCCTTGCAAGTAACAAGCTATTTGTTAGGACCATTCACTCATCAGACACAGTGTGCGGATTCAAATTCGAATTCGATCATTGAATCAACCATGTGATGTAATTCATCAATTTCACACTATTGTTGGGATGCCGCGGAATCCAGATACATGTTCAAAACCTAAGCCTAATCAAGCAGACTAAAGATGTCTTTAGAAGCATACTAATGATTGCTGTTTCTTCGTCGTTCAATCATGAAGACATTTGCATTTCTTTAGTCGATTACACCAAATTCAAATGGTGCACAATAGCCCTATGAAACTCCACTCAGTTTAATAATCAACCAATTGCGTACATGAGATCTCATCTGCGTTCTATCTCCGTCTTCAATATCACTACCATTTCACCAACTTTCAATCATCACCATTTTTTCAAGAACTGCGAATTACAGTATAAAAACATTCAATCACAACTTTGAGCCTTCAAGATGGATACGGACAAACAATCACTCATTACCTTCACGTTTTCCTCGTCCGCAAGGAGTTAACCCTACGACGAGCGGATTTACCATATAACATCCTATTTATCGCCTATGTCGTCGTCGCCATTGAGTTAATGACTCGCGTCTTCGTACACGAGCCCGTGAATTTATTAATAGACTGAGGTATACACCGGGGGATGGCAAGACATCATTTTCGGGCAAGCTGGTCTTTCGATCATTCTCCAGACACATCCATATTCAAAACTTAAATGCTAATGATAAACTGACATGACTTCACAGATGTCATGATCTGCCTTCCGATCCTTTCCATGTCCACAGGATTTTTACAATATTGGGGGCGAGCTTTATTTTTTCTCATGGATTTTCAGTGGTTGTCTATATGCCACTTTATTGCCATATTACGCTCCTGAATTGTGGGTGGACTATATCCTAAGGGTTAAAAGGGTAGAGGAAATGATCGACTAGCATCAATATCAACAACACATTTAAATTCGCTTAATACTCCTCCTATTAACTGATTTTCATATCGGCAAATTCTATCTCAATGACCAATTTCCTCATTATTCGAAGCCTGAATTAAACCATCCTCTTTCATCTTGGCATCTCCTGCGATCTCGATTCGTTCAACTGACTTCACTTTTCTATCCCTTTTCTTCATCTCCACCCCTATTTACTACCACCCTTAGCCTACAGTCTACAGCCTACAGCCTTCATTCAAACATCACCCTACAATTCCATCCATTCAATTCACTTCACTTCATATATAATGCAACAAATAATGTAACATTGCAACAGGTTAGTTAATAAGTTTCCCAAGAAGTCTCGGTTTTGTGAGCAACATAACTGATTCCTGGAAGAGTTGTGGAGTTGGATACTGAGTTTGTATTTCATAGATCGGTTTTCAAGATATTCATTGGAGGCGTAGCCTCTAAATATTCTTGCTGCATGTGAGTGCAAGCTGTAGTAGACTGAAAAAATGTTGTTCGCTTAAAATGAGTCGTATATCCTGATATGATTGGTCTAAACCTCAATGTCAAAAAACTCTTGGCATTATACAGTTTTGATATCAGCTATTTCAGTCACAATGTGGCTGAAAAGCCTTCAATTCAGTACAGAACCTTAAATAATTGAATGAAATAATAATAATTTAATAATTAAATTAAAACGATTAAGAGTTTTCAGAATATATAATTATTATCAAAGTAAGCCTAATATTAGAATAAATATTATCGAAATTATTGATAAAATTATAGTAGTTGGTGATGATATGGGGTGAGAATAAATGCTTAGTAATCATGCCTTAGGCATAATCGACTTGGAGCTTTTCAAAGCTTTTCAGATTATTATTATTATTATTATTGTTATTAAAGCTTTTTTATAAAGATATAAGAATAAGAATAAGAATAATAATAATACTAATAATGAAATATAGTATTTTCGAATAACTACGCCGACTTTAAGCGTATGTCTCTTCTAAATTATTATGAAATTCTGAAATATTAATAAAATATTAAATATATAATTAAATAAATTAATAATAATTTTTAAAAAACTATAAGATAAATAATACTTTTAAAAAACCAGGAAGGCAGAGGGCGGGAGGGTACCGGGAGGCGCAGCGCTCCTGGTTGAATCATTGATATTTGTCTAAATTAGGAATATTGTATAGATTAGTGAGATTGGAGATATTGCGTAGAGAGTATTGTCCGTATGATCGTTAAAGCTTTGGAAACATGAAGTGTATGGTATCCTCGAGTTCTTAAGGATCGGATTTTTCGCATATCGTACAATCAAAGTTCAGGTAGGTACTTTGCAGTCGTTTTACTGAAATGTTTTACTCGGTTACGCGCCTCCGAGATGCACGAGTGCTAAACCATATGACTATACAGTACCAAGTCCATCCTTTATGACGATACTCAAGAGCCTTACCTCTCACATCGTAGCTAATGCTATAGTATAGGTAGATCAAATCGATCATGAATTACTACTACTATTACTACTAACTACTACTACTACCCTCACATTCTACTCAATTCGAGTATCGTTACGAGTAAAATGAAATCTTTAAAGTCATGATCTTGAAAAGTATGATATAAATCCAATGAAAGTCCGACTTTTGAAAAGAAGAAGCTTTCGAGACTCTGCAAGGAGATGAAGTGAAGACACCAAAACCATAATATGATATTATCATTCATCAAGAACCACAACATCTAACTCTCAAACATACATTCCCTCACCAATATAACAACAACATCAGGCCCCCTCAAAATCCACACCAAGATCTCACCACGCCCACTTCACACATAGTCCTCCCTCGCCATCAACACAGAGTATGCTTCATCCCATCTGTCTATACACACTTCATCCCATTCACCCACCCAAGAATCACAAGAACCACAAGATCTGCTCTCTCTCATCTACCAAAATACAATTTCACACACAGCGTCCAAACTACCAAGGTTAAAGTTTTTCACCAGACTGACATGTCTGGTCCAGACAGATCAAAAATCAAAAATCCCAAACAAACCTCCACACCAAACCAATACAGTACCACAATATTAGAAAAAACACTGTAATCATCGCGAGACATCCTAGATATCATATAATCACAACCGAACCCACCAATTAGCATACCGCAAATCTTCTCCCCTTCTTCCCTTCTTCCCTTCTCCTTTCCTCTAACCTACCACCATACACAAGAACCGCAGAGCCCAAGTCTATAAGCCTGCATAGCAGAGACCAGCCCAACATGCAGCTTGCGCTCACCTTCCTCATATAGCCCTCGTATACCCTCCCCATCTATATATATACTCCAATTCACAATTTACTCACTCACTCATCCCCATCCTATCCCATCCTTTCTACTCCATCAAAACCACACAAATACCTACTCGGGTAGTCGAGTAGTATAACATAAACTTCAACTCACATTCATTCCACTCAGCCTTACATCCCTCAAACATCAACCCCATTCCCATTCCCATTTCCAATCCTTAATATCCTACCGGTACTTGATTTTCTGAACTCCAGCTCTATATCTGAAACAGTTTCAAAGTGAAGTGAGTTAGTCATTAACTCAGATCATTCCTTCCCCATTTTCCCATTTTCTCCCTTTCTATACCATGCCGTGCTATATATAAACCACATACTCCCCATACTCTCCCTCTACCCCCGATATCCGCCCTTTCATGATCTTAAGGTTGGTTACACATAATTTGTGTCTTATCAAAGAACAATATGAGTATATCGCCTATGAAATCACATCGCATTGAATCAGTATTTCGCTCACATCTTTTTCTTTCTTAAGTGATTTGACTTGAATTGACCCATTGTCACTAAACTCCCTGCTTTACTCTCCCCATCCTATGGTATTTGATCGACAATCTTGTATCTTCCATAACCCTTTCAGATTCGTCGTCTCCACTTTCGCTGATACCAGTTCATATCCTACAAGCTTAGAGTCACTTAAAGTCCTTTGCTAACATCAACCACTAAACCCCCGTGGACAAACATAATCTCATTTCCCTTCCTAAAAGCTTCCCCAGTATTTCAATAATTCCATCCCTTTGATTTCCCTCTCAAGAAGCACCAGAATCCTGTCTCAACATCTCCGCAACATCCGCATCTAACCCCTCCATAGCATCACCACCCATCTCGGGAAAGTCATCATTCAATTTCCTCTTCTTCATACTGCTCATCGAATTGCTCCTTCCATAACTAGTAGAAACACTACTTAGCAAATCCAAACCAGAAGTTGGTGATATGGACTGGGATATGTAATTCGAACCATTCGTTGCATTAGCGGACGAGTCAAGGTCAAAATCGAGAATTGGCTCTTGGTTGATGGACTCTTCCTTAGCAGGGCGCAACGGAGGTGAAAGTGGTTCGACTTCGGGGCGGTCAGGTTCAGATTTGGGAGTGGCCATTTGATTTCCCGGGCTGCCATCTGCGGGTGTGCTTTCGCTGCTGTTTGCAAACCCCCGCATGATGCTGTCTTCCACGTCCCTCTTTTTAGTGTCGATTTCGGTGCGTCGCGTGGATAGGAGGTTGAGTTGCGTCTCCTCTTCTGCTAGGGCATTGCGATTTGTCTCTAGTAGTTTCTCCAATCCTTCAATCAACAAGTTACGCGATTTGATAACTTCAGCTACAGCTCCCTCTGCGTTCGCCAAAGACTTGAGAAGGCCGTTGAGTCGGGCAGCATGGACTGGTGCGGATGGGGTTGGCGTATTTGGATCTGTGAGCTTTTCATAATCAAGGTTCGCAGAACTTGTAGAGGTTTTCGTAGAGAGTACCAATTTGGAAATCGATTGTTGAGGTGCTACAAGGGGTTGAAGTTCGCTTGGTACCGATGATGAATTGCTGGAGAATAGGGATCCGCCCAAACCTTTCCTGTTCGAAGATCTGGATTTTTCGAGTTCTGTAATCATCAGTATAAGCTATTTTATACCCGCAGATGGACCTACCCTCAATTCGAGCCTCAACTGCATCTTGTATAGGGATCTCGAATATCTGCCTCTGCCTCCAAACTTCCACAACTCTCTTCAATTTGTTTTGGACATCGCTCGTAGCTCCCTTGTAAGCAGTTGCTGTAGCCTCTGCAATTACAGGAGAAAATGCAATGAGGAAATCATCCTTGCGCCGAGCTTTCGATTGTTGTGCAACTTCTGTGAAAGACAGACTCATTAGCAATAATCCCAAATAAATGAAGCATAATTTTATACATTCTAAATCTAAGGGCGTAGTACAGTTGAAATAGGGATGTTTTACCATTCGCAAGATAGACCAAATTCAATCTCTTGTTACTTCCGGAATCCTTCAGCTTTTGAAGCCAAAGTTGTCCAGTACGGTCGGCAAATCTCCTATATAACGAATTAGCACATTGAAAACTCAGCGAATGGATAATTGCTTGCTTACCTATGAAACATGATCCATTGAGCGACAGTGACCTAGCAAAAATTAGACCGTCATTCATTACCTGAGACTGAAAAGACACTCACGATACTCTCCTGCGTCTCATTCAAAGCAGAAAGTTTTGCAAGAACGGCATCATCGTTGTAGGCCATCTTTATTGCTTGATATGGTCGATGGAAGGAAACAGGACAATTCTCAATGGATTTTGTTTGTAGTTTTATGATGTTGCTTGCCGGTGTATGTTTCGATGGAATTTACAAGGTAGAAGAATGGCTTTGTTATACACCAGAATCGAAATATCACCTATTAAATCCCGAAAAACTGTCAATAAGAAGACAATGATTTCCAAAGATAATCTCTAGTATCACTTTTGCTTATTTGCCTTGATGTGAATTGAGTCAAAAATTAGTTGAATTATAAATTCTGAAGTTGTTTGCATCTTGGAGTTCCTTCTAAAGCTCTCCTTAGCGTCGGTAAATCCCGTAACTAGGGTCCGGCCCAGGCGCAAGCAAGTAAGTATTGACATTGGGTATCATCATATCAGGAGCAGACAGACAGACAGACAGACAGCTTGCGATTTCGAAATCAAGAGTTACACACAACCAACACTTTAGATTTCAATATGGCTGACAGATTTCCTTCTCTTGAAGACTTTGACTCTAGTGGTAAGTTTAGATTTGGAATCACAAATTGGAATCAATGTATACAGTTTATTGACAACACGGTTTACAGCTCAAACACAAGGTGACTCTACTTTTGAAGGGGGATCCGATGATTTCTTGAGTCGTGAGAAGGCCCTTTTGGGTGAAGATGCCGATCAGTTTACTACTGGCAACGACAATGCCGCATTTGTAGAAGATGATGATGACGACTTGTTGGGTGGTAGCGGAGGAGAGGATGTTCATCAATTTGAGAGTTCTTTCCCTGCCATTGATACTCGCAATGAGGTATGCCATTATCCCTTTATCCCATTACACATTCTATATTCCTTCGAAAGCTGATATTTATAAACTCAGGGTGTTTCACCGGGCGGACAAATCACCAGCTCATACACCAATTATCAACCGCAAGGATCCGACGAGGAAGAACCAGAAGTCATCAAACAATGGCGCGAACGTCGAGACCTCCAACTCCAATCCCGCGAAGAGCGATCGGAAGAGAAGAAGCAAGAGACCGTCAAGACTGCCCAACAAAATATCGATGATTTCTACGAGAACTATAACACTAAAAAGGAGAAGACCGTTGCGCAGACCCGTCGTGATGCCGAGGAATTTTTGGCAAGTAGGGAAGACACATCTGCTGGTGGAACCAGCTGGGAGCGTATCGCGAAGTTGGTTGACTTGAGTGGAAAGGGTGCTAGTGGTGGTGCAAATGGCACTGGCAAAGAGAAGTTCCGAGAGCTGTTGATGAATCTAAAGAAAGATGAGAAGGCACCTGGTGCTACCGGATATTAGAGGGTGTTGGTTGAACGGGTTGGGTGATCTCATTATGGGCTTGTAAGATTGCGCAAGATGGTTGTTTTGTTTCGTTCAAGAATTGCCTAATCGGAAGTTCTGGGCAATGGGGCGTTAAAAATGAATAGCACAAACACGCATGTCTACTAAAGACCTGTTTATAATGACATTGTTTCTATTTCTGGCTTTCTAAAATGTGATTGCTGTTTACTCTGTGAAGAGGGTATAATATTAACACGATTGCTGATTACATGACCGCTTTTTTAAATGGTATGGCATACTACTTTTTTTATTAATTTCGTTACCACCTTTGCCGCCTCCCCCATATCCACTGACACTTATTCTGGGTCACCATAATTCTCTGCCAATACTCGTTGTCTTTCATCTTCTTCAAATTGCCTTACTGCAGCTTGTCCTTCTTCGGTCGTGGCGTCGACAATTTGATCCTCAAGTTGTAGCATTCCGCCCTAGACATATGTTAGCAAGGCGATATAAAATGATATCACAATTTGAGCTTACCTCGCTCAGCTGGCCTACAATCTCTTCAGCTTGCTCCACACTCATCTTGCCTAATACCTTATTAACTTCAACCAAGCTAGCACTTTCCAGAGCTCGTTGCAGTCCAGGAGGGAATGCATTGTATAAATCTCTCGACTTAATTACTTCTGGGTCCTCACTTGTAGCGGGCGGAATCGTGATGTTGATAGTGGTATTGGGATCGACAGCATGAAGTTGGATTTGTTCAACTCCGCCTTCTGGTCCATCATCGGCTGCTCTCTGCTTCTGAATCTCCCTAGCCCGGGTGCGTACTCTATCAAAAGTAGAGTTAACGTCATCGAAGAAGACCTTTTGTGCTTGGTGCCCTTTGGTGGTGATGCGCTTGAAGAATAAGCCAACGCCATCCTTTCCAAGTGCCCTGCAGTATTGAAGTAGTAGAGCTTGGTGGACACATTGCCTAGCAAAATCATCTTTGCCTGCAATTGCAGAGTTGAATGCCATGACCAATAAGCCATCAGTCTCTCTTTCTGCTTGTACTGAAGGATTGGAGGAAATGTATTGGAGGCATGCACGATAATCGCCGATCCTAATCAGTGCAAATTTCTTTCCAAGCTCGGTAGGTTCTACATCGTCATCTTCTTCGTCATCCTCATCGACATCTGCATCAGCTCCCGAGGATTCTTCACTTTGCTTCGAGCCATCTTCATTGGCGAGGGCATGAGGGTTTAGGACTTCGACAGTTTGGGCTTTGTCTTTAGATGAAGTCTTTTTCGGTTCTGGATCTGCTTTTGACACGAACGAGCTGTCGAATCCAGTGTGTATACTCTCACTAGTAATCTTCTTGCCCTCCTCTTTCTCTAGAGTATCTAATTCCACCGCAAGTTCTTTTTGGAGATCCTCGACCTTTGCTTGATGTACCTTGATTTCGGCGATATATGCCTCGAAACGGTTCTCCGGCTTGTCCTCGTCGACCTTTGTCTTGACTTGATCAATAAGCGCAGCCATCATCTTAGAGTATGTTGGAGGTGCCTCCTTGACGTGGGTGTGTACCCCTTCCGGTGGTGGTGGTGGGGAGTCATCCTCGCCAGTTGATTCCATCAATGCTCGAAATGCAAGATCATCTGGGCGTTTATCGGTTTGGGGACTGTAGGACTGTAGAGCGACAAGTAGAGCGCTTATCCTCTTGAGAAGTCCATCGTTGATGATTCGTTCGTACTTGAAGGTGTCTATTTTATTCTTTCGCTCATATCTCTGCTGATGAATTTGGTTTTGTTTTGCTCGAATGAAAGAACGCTTATCAACATTGGGGTGAACTTCGACATCGGAGTCGTCACTCAGTTCGAGTGCATCCTAATATTGTCAGCCTTGAACTTGAAATATCAGCCTTTCGAAGTGGGGGAGGACAACGATGAGGGGTATGTAGTATTGTGTATAGATATAGAATGAACTTACCCATTTACTATAATTTATCGGCATATTGGAGATAGATTGAAGAGTGTTCGTATGTTGATGTTGATATTGAGTATTATTGCTATTGCCGCTTTCAGAGTTGTTATGTTGAAGGAGTTGGGGAGTTGGTAGCTCTTTATTGTAACAGAAGTCTTATTTAATACTACTCGAGTTATGTTATGAATGGCGCCCAAACATCCCAGCGTTAATTCTAGCCCCACGTTCAAGCTTTCATAAGCTGTAAATAAAGGTTTATGATTGGTCAGTGCATAAAATGGTAAAATGAATGGAAAAGGAAGCGATGACGGAAGCTAAATCTAGGAAAATAATGTTCCGTTTGGCAGATAGACCTTCATTACAGTTATACAATTATATCAATTTCGCCGTCGTTGGAATCATTGATACTTTTTAGATACTGCGCAATAATGACAGTTCGACGACCAAATATTTCAAAGCTTCATCGGTGAATTCAGTGGATGTAGCACACAATCCGGGCGTTAAAACTCTACAATGCGGCGCACCTTTACTCTAGGCAATGGTTGGGGGGGAGCCTCAGTCTACGATATAGCTTTCAAATATATTTCAAAGAACATTCCAGCTCCAGCTGCTTCTAGATGGACTTCCTCCGGATCTTCTCAGGTTGCAAAAAGGTATTCTTCCGGCCTCAAAAGCTCTCCATCGCCATTGAGCCCCGCGCCTAAGCCAACCAACCCACAACTTTCTACCAGCCGTATTCTTCAGCAAACAAGAACTGGACTATCATCACCATGGCGGCCGATAATATTCGAGTTACGACCTTTCCACACTTCATCACCTTTGCAAAGCCCGGGGGCCTCGGATAGGCAGGATCATATCGAACGAGAACGGCAAAGACACGAAGAAGAGGAAGAGGATAACATTGATGAACAAGGGGATTTTACACGAAGTGAGAAGGCCTCCAAAGCGACACAAGTCAACCTGAGCGCAAGATTACAGAGTAGTGGGAAAAAACAAGGAAATACAGCTGCATTTGGTGAAATATGGAGGTTACTCAAAATTGCTCGGCCGGAGGCAAAATGGCTCGGCATAGCTTTTGCGTTCTTGTTGATATCCTCATCAATCACCATGTCGATACCATTCTCAATCGGAAAAATTCTCGACTTAGCCACCAAAGATCCTTCAGAAGGCGAAAAACTTCTTGGTCTGGACATTGGTCAATTCTTCATTGCTCTCGCCGCCGTGTTGACCGTGGGCGCTGCAGCCAACTACGGACGTATTATCATATTGAGAATAGTGGGAGAACGAATTGTAGCCAGGCTTCGGTCACAATTATATAGGCGAACGTATGTACAAAATGCGGAATTCTTTGACGCCAATCGAGTCGGAGATCTCATTTCTCGATTGAGTTCAGATACGGTTATTGTTGGAAAGAGTATTACTCAGAATCTCTCGGACGGTCTACGGGCCATTGTCAGTGGAGCTGCTGGATTCACAGCTATGGCATGGGTAAGCTTAAAGCTTACGAGTATTCTGTGTCTCATGTTCCCACCCGTTGCAATCGGTGCATTCTTTTATGGACGAGCGATCAGAAATCTAAGTCGGAAAATCCAAAGAAATCTGGGAACACTAACCAAAATCGCCGAAGAGAGACTCGGAAACGTTCGCACAAGTCAAGCTTTTGCTGGTGAGACACAAGAGGTTGGCAGATATAACCGGCAAATCAAGAAAATATTCTCACTAGGAAAGCGGGAAGCACTTATAAGTGCAACGTTTTTCAGTTCGAGTGGATTCTTTGGTAATATGACCATTTTGGCCTTACTCTACACTGGTGGATCGATGGTCAAGAATGGTTTGATAAGTATCGGTGAGCTGACATCCTTCCTGATGTATACAGCCTATGCCGGGTCAAGTTTGTTTGGTGTATCCAGCTTTTACTCGGAACTCATGAAAGGTGTTGGTGCCGCCAGTCGTCTTTTCGAGCTTCAAGATCGAAAGCCGACAATTCCTGCGACCGTTGGTACCAAAGTTAAGTCTGCACAAGGTGTGATTAAATTTCACAACGTCTCCTTTGCCTACCCAACGCGGCCAGCAGTCCTAATCTTTGATGGTCTCGACTTTGAAATTCCTTCGGGTACCAACGTGGCAATTGTCGGCCCCAGTGGTGGTGGAAAATCTACCATCGGTTCACTCCTATTACGATTCTATAACCCTACAGAAGGAAAGATCACAATCAATGGTCAAGATGTAACAAAAATGAATGGGAAGTCTCTTCGCCGTCGAATTGGAATGGTTGGCCAAGAACCTGTCCTCATGTCTGGCTCGGTTGCCGAGAATATTGCCTACGGAAAGCCCCATGCCTCAAGATCAGAGATCATCGCAGCCGCACGCAAGGCAAATTGCCAGTTCATCAGTGACTTCCCTGAAGGTCTCGACACACAAGTTGGAGCACGTGGAGCTCAACTATCCGGAGGACAAAAACAACGAATTGCAATTGCTAGAGCGTTGCTCAAGAATCCCGATATTCTCATCCTGGACGAAGCAACATCGGCTTTAGATGCCGAATCAGAAACCCTAGTGAACTCTGCTCTTGCAGCGTTACTAAGGGGTCATAATACAACTATTTCTATTGCTCATCGTCTCTCAACCATCAAGCGTTCGGATCACATCATTGTCTTGGGCAACAATGGAAAGGTTGCTGAAACAGGGACATACAACTCATTATCTAATAACCCTAGATCCGCCTTTTCTAAATTGATGGAATGGCAAATGAGTGGAGGTGATACAGCAGATCACAGACCTGTTGAAGTAGAAGGTCATTTCACAGAATCCGAGGAGATCACAGATGAATTATCTCGTCTGAATGATTCCGATGCGAGCGAGGGTGAAGCTATCGTGGAAGGAACCAAGGAACGAAAAGAAGATGAGACCAAGACGGAAGCTGTTTTGGAAAAGACAAACAACCGAATTAAGTAGATGAGTAGCACACGGAGTGGAGGGAACTGTATGGATATTAATCCCTGGTTTCTTCTTTATTTTCGAGGCGTTTATAGAGAGAGTACTTGCATTCGAAAGTGGAAGGACTATTGGGGAACTCTTCATCCCCATCCACCACATAGCAGAGAGATAGGAGGATTAATCATTAGCGAGAGTCAATTATTGGCTTATTGTAGATTACTACACACCCAAAAGGGCAGAAACACAATTGTATTATACTCCACTCTTGATAATTATTAAGTTGTTCACTTTCTTTGATTATATCAACATCTTCGCGACAGTGAGTTCAATGCCAGTATATTGAGCGTACATAGTACTACTAGTAAGTACACATAATACTCATCGAATAAAAATCACAAGCAAACGCTTCGCCACAAGCTATAACTCCAACGCCCTACTAACCAATATTGACAATTTTACTAGCATTAACCCTAATTTAGAATAAGTCTACTACCCTACTTTCGGGCCACTGTGACGGAACAGACAGCTCTCTACCGCCCACTGGCTCATACTACATATGTAGCATGATACAATGGCTCTCTTGGACCTTCCTTTCACAGTTTAGAGCCTTAGCTCTATAACTTTAGATCTAGGCATTATATAATACTTATCTCTAGAACTCTTTTACTCTTCTAGGTCTAGCCCTTATAACTCCCAAATACCTATATATATAGTTTTTCTTTTACTATCTTATATAGCTTTTTATTTGTAAATTCTAAATATATAATCGAAGTTCTATTTATATTCTTTTGATTATATTATTTATAAATCAATACTTTATAATTATAATTAAAAATAATTATTAAATTTCTTCAAATCTCTTTTTTAAAACTAATATCGATTATATCGATATTATTTAGAAATGAAGAATTTATATTAATTAATAATCTCAGATTTCTGTTAAAAACTTTATTTTTATTTATTTAATAAATTAACGTTCGAGGAGTAGGCGGAGTCTATCTATAATCTCTCAAAGAATACTTGTTTAAGGATAAATAAGGTTTGAAAAGAAAAAGTATTGTCATAGGTTTATTATCTGTTTCTAATTAACTTGGATAGATATCTTAGGCATTTATTTATTATATAATCATTATCGCTCCACACGTCTCCTCTCCTTATCGAATATTATACATTTTATCTAGTACCCATACTAGCCCCGTA